CCCTCTCAGGGGCGCGGGCCGCGCGGGGCCCTGCCCGGCTCCTTCACACACACCCCGGCTCCTTACCCCGGGACCCGCGGTCACCCCGCGTCCGCTTTTCTGTCGGGAAAACTCCTTATGTTCTTTTTTCTTAAATACCCAAAATTAAAACATTTTGCGAGGGCTGCGTGTGAACGCGTGTGGTGTACCAGCCTGTTCCTGCCACGCCGTGCTCGCAGAGGTGTTTCGCGGTGTTTGTCGAGGGCAGGCAGACGCACAGCCCCAACGCATGAACTTAAACAGAGGTGAGATGGGAAGAGCCCGTGGGCTTTTCAGGATGGATTCGCAAAGGAGGCAGCAGACATTTGCTGTGCAGCCACGGAGACCTGGGGAGGGTGAAGTCTGAGGGCAGCGGTCTTACAGGCATTTTCTTACAGGACCACCTCTACGCTTGTGAGATTTTCCTGCTAGAGGCTCCCTTTGGGGAGCTGTTGCTTCCAAGTGGCTGTCGACAGATGAAGCCTTTTCTGCAGTAGCACAGATGTACTAGCAAAAGAGGTTGTAAGAGTTAAATCACAGTTTGTACCAGTATCCCAGACAGTTGTTTTTTTCCCAGGAAAGTTTACTCTATCTACTGCAGACTTTTGACAGGGAGAAGGTTTGGGGAAGCAGAGTATTTGCTGATAAAACTCACAGTGGTGGCAAACTGCTAGCTGTGAAGGACAAAGGTTTGAAATCTGATTCTTGTTCTCTCATCTGCTGCTGAGCTGGGAGCTGTTGAAGTAAGCTTCTGTATTTATGTTACATGACTGGTATGATTGCACACACCACAAAGAAATTAAGACTTCAGAAAGCCATTCTTCATGATGAATGTACAGGGGTTACATGTATGGTTTTCTAGAAAAGGGTCCAAATCGCTTCTCAATTATTTCACTGAAAATCAGAGCTAAGCTTAGATGGAGTGTGAGGAGTTAAAGCAGTATTTGGAGAGGAGAATCAGGCCTGTCCAGTGGAGTGCTCAATTGTGTTGGTGTTCTGAAACAATAAAAATAAGGGTTGTCTTGATATTAAGTATATGGAAATATGTGTGAATTCAGCTATCCTGAGAGACACTAGTTGCCTGGATACCTTGAATCCTTCTGAAAAGCATGTTTTTGAAATCAAGGATAGCTGCAAAGTGGCCAGCGTAAGCAGCCATCAACATTGCACACCAGCCCAGTCCATGTGAACCACGGCAGGGGAGACAAAGCCAAACCTGAAAATCAGTTTCATTGAGTTAGCTAATTGCCATGACTATAACATGCTGTGACAGCTCTCCTGCAATCCAAAGACACAAATTAGACCTTCTTGAGAATTACTGCGACACGTAACAATAATCTGAGAGATGAACTGTGATTGCAGTGGATTCCTCGGGACAGAGACAGGATTTTTAAGTCGCTTGTTTTTCCCTAATGTCTGTGACTTGCTCGTTTTCTATATTGCAGGGTCTATTGGGGGCTTCTTGAGTGTGTTTGAGGGCACGTTGTGTTTAGTTTTACCTATTCTTTTAACAAATTGTACAAAAGATTCTTTTAACTTAAAGGAATGTTGAAGAAGTATTTCTATTTTTCATTTTGCTTCTTTTGTTCACTGAATAAAGTACTAAACCTATTTAGTTTTAACTTTTTCTTGTTTAGGTCCTAATGAAATAGGTACTGAAATCAGCATGGTGCTTTGTTTTCAAAGGAGTTTTAGATTAAACTCAATAAATTAAGGCCTGATGTTACAAATATAAGAGCACAAGGAACTTCACATACAAGAGTGCTCATAAGTTTTAGTAAGGTGCTACTTATATCAGTAGACTTACAGGTATTATCTAGAAGACCTAATTTTATGCATTCAAATCATGTTTACTTTAAAAACATTCCTTGAAAAATTCACCATTGCTACAACTTAATCCATTATTTTCATCTTCTGCCTGGGTTACAAATTAGCAATTTTTAAATTAGCTGCAGGTCAGGTGGAAGTTGTTCTCTGTACTTTAATGTTCAGAAATTGTTCCTGCTGTACCATCTTTTTTTTCCTAGGAGTCAGGACATTCGGACTCTGCTTCCAGCTTTGACTGACTTGTGATTTGATCTCTCTTACTAAATTCCTCTACATTGTGAACTCCCATTTTATAAGGTATGGAAAATCATACTTAACTGCTTCGCAGGGGCTTCTCAGCAGGGCAGATAAAAATGAATGATTCAGTGAAATGCAAGTGATATAAAAAAATGTGAAATTCAGATTAATGCTGTTCCCAGTGTGCATGCTACTGTTTTGTGGTGGGTTTTTTTCCATTTAAGTTCAGTTATAAGGTGAAACTGTACATGAGAAAAGAACAGGAATGATTTCCTACTGCCATTTAAGTTGGAAGTCTAGTGTTACTGATTTTAGTGGAAGCTACCATATGCTCTTCTGTCTTGACTTCCAGAGTGCTTCCATGGGTATGTCTGAATTGCAGAAGCTAAGGTAAGTTAGCCTGCCCAGAGGTCTTGGCTACCACAGCCAGGCTATCTAGTGCCTCAGCCTGAGGTAGTTTGATTAGACTGTCTGAGTTATCTTCTCCGTACATGGCACACTGCAGTAGGCATATCCCACACAGCACACACTTCAGGACACAGTCAGATTGCCCCAATTCCACTCATGTCCATATGCTTGCTTGCTGGCTGTACATCTGCAGATGTAGATCTGCACTTTAGTGACGTGTGTGCCGTCTGAATCTCACCCTTAACAATTCTGAGCAAAAATAGATGCTTTGTAAAGCAAGAGGCACCATGAGGCTGCCAAAAAGTGTATTTGTACATATTCAGAATAAGTTGTCTAAATTGGGCTTGTTACATGTGAACTTTTGTACGTCTCCATTCAGGATGGCACGCAAGTCAGACCAGTGATAAACAGCTCTGCTATTTGTAAACGTGACACACATTCAGCGATACAGACTAGAAGGAAGTATTATTCATTGTGCAGTCTGCATGCAGCATAATCACTGTGACCACAGTAACATGATGACTTGTTTAATTTACGGTAAGGCTGACATGCTTGCCTTGTTTTGTTGCGTGATCCAATGATGTTTTATCTCATGTGAACCCTAGAACCAGTCAGTGATTTTTTAAATCCAAGTGTGTCAAACGCATAGTTCTGAATAGAACATTGATCTGTTTTACACTGACTTCAGCTCCCTTCTTGAGCAGACAGAGAAGCAAGTCTAACGTTAAGTCAATGCAGAATCCATTTAGTGTAATCCCCTTGCTGAGAACTTCCACTTAGAGCACTTTCTGAGGAAGAGACCCAAAGCTTCATGAAGGGTAACAGTAACCTGGAACAGCTTGGCCTGGAAATGTCTTTCTAACCACCACATCTTTTTGTCGGCTACTTTATGCTCTAGAAAGTGAAACCACCAATTTATCTTACACTGATGGAATAGCCATAAAGTGGTTACGACTAATGGCCCTTTCCCTGCAAACACTGACCACATATTTAACTAAGAGAACAAAGTCCCATGAACTATGCTGCACAAGGAAATTCAATGCCACTCTAAAGGCATGAAGTTCTTAGCATCCACAGGTACAGACCCAATGGTCTGCTCTTATCCCGCTCTTCAACTGATGCAGTTGAAATGTCCGTATCAGCCTATATAATTTTTTCTGTATTGAAAGAAGCACAGAGGAAGTAAACAGTCTGAGTCCTCCTGTAGGTGTCTAAGCAATTTAACCTGCAAACTGGCACATCACCAATATCTGAAGATTGTTGTTAATAGCAGGGAAGGGTGTTCACCTTCTTTTAAGTTTTTCATCCTTCCTGCATTACGTAAGAGGTTAACAAGTTACTACACCCAGTCGAAGGCACTGTTAGGAGCTGGGTTCGACATGAGTACCTCTGGGAGGGAGCAGGACAGGTTTATGTAACAAAGGAAGAAAAGTCAGGTCAGTGAGCCTAAGAAAGTCTGAAAACTTCTCATGTACCTAACTATACCCTGACAGGCCTGAATAAATTGAGACTTTCCAGGACACCTAAACGCGCAACAGACTGCAAGACTTCTGTATTTTTTTTGAACTCATTAGAAGTACTGAGATACATATACTAAAATCAAGGCATTTTAAGTAATAGGAATGAAGAAACGAGAGGGCAATAAAAATTGAGATAGCTAGTTGATTTTTATGAGATACGGACATTTCCTTAGTTCAGAACTGTAAACAACGTATGATGTTTGTAAACAGAATGATTTGAAATTTCCCAAGCTATAAACCAGACAGTACCATCATAGCTATGATTTCATGATTAAAACCTACCCCTTATAACTGTAAACAGCTCTCCATTCTCACTACAAAGAATTATGAGTGATTTCAAAAATCTAGGAGACTGAGACACACTATTATTTCCCTATCACAGGGATCTTCTATATGTGCCATCTTTAATTGTTCAACTTGATAAAAATAAGCCATCTGAATTCAGAGCACACATTTTGCTATTAATATACAAAACAGTAATTTAAGTTACATGTATAGAAGGCATGTACCTGAAGCCTTTTGCCTTGAGGTAAGCAGTCTGCAAGAGTAATGCAGACGTACAAAGCAAGGGTAATAAAATGACTCTTACTTCCTGCCATACATGTCACACACATTTAGCCTTTTCCACTCCTCACGCTGTCATAACAGTTTCTGGGAACACAACCCAGCCAATATTAATTTTCTGATATCTACGTGGCGAATTGTAACCTCCGTGCCCGTTACTGGCTATCAACATCAATACAGTGGGGCAAACTTCAAGGAAAACGTGCATTAACCACATCTGTATATAACAGTTCTGTTTTTAAATTGGTTTATTCTAGTTCATATCTTATCTCATTTTAAAACTCTATAGAGCAGGAGCTATGTCTTATGTTTCTGGGATGCTCAGCACAGGACACTGAACATACGTGGGGTCTTTAGCTGCAGTTATCATACCAGTATTTATGACTGACTGTTTCTGTGTGTGCCAGTGCACACTGATGAGTCAGCAAAAGAGTAGAGCCTAGAATAAGATGTCTCTTTCCTTTCCAGAGAGGCAAAAGAGGGATGGAGCTCACAGCAGCAGGCTTTTTCACCAAACACTCCTTGGAGCTTTGCTGGCTGTGGTAAGTTAACATCTCCTGCTTTCTTTACTTTTTAAGTGAGTAGATTGGCTGCCATTCACAGAGACCAATTATCATTTCAGGAACAACTTTTTGGCGCCAGAACTGTTTATATGGAAAACAGATTAAAGCTAAAACCCAGCTACCATCATAATTTCAAAACCTAGTAGGACTCTAGACATGTGTTTCACTTGCTTATTACTGCTGTAATAAAAAGTACAGGGTATTCAACCAGAACATCCATGTTTATTTTGATGTGGATTCATTGTATAATCAACAGATTTTAAGCTAACATCAAATGTCTCACAAAAGATATTGCGTTGCTTTTAGAGCCCAGGCTCTTTTCTTTCAAGAAACATAATCAGTCCACATTAAAATAAATGCCAAGGTTTCAATTATTAATTTCTGCAATATTGATTTTTTAATATGACACTCAGTAGTGTATATTACTTTCCAAATTGAATTCTTATGCAGAAAGCTACGCCCCAGTATCATAAAGATACTAAGTTATATTCACCTGTGAATCATTCATGCATAAAAATCTATCATTTTGAACATAACCGTACAAGCAGTTAAAGTATCTGTGGAGAACATACCTTGTGTAAAAGCTGTAAGTTCAGACCTTAATCTGTTGCCATTGACTGTTCAGTAAGCACGTTCTACACAGCATTGCTGAGCTTTTTACAAACACAGCAGATAGAACACAGTCAAATAATTCCTGATCCAACTGAACAGAAGAATAATCAACAGAAATGAATATACCTGTGATGAGTGCACTGGTTGATATGCCCTTTAAAATAGGTACAAGTTGCTTTAATAAAAGAGTAGCATGCTCAGATCAACTTCATTTTTTTTTTTCCCCTACCACTGACTTGAGTATTTATTTTTTAATCATCATGAAGACAGAAGCTAGGATTTTCTGGTAACTAGGTAGTTACAACCACTACAACAAAGGATTAAATACACATTGGGAACTTTATTTTTACAATTCAGTGGTATAGATATTTACTGTATAAAAGGTAAAAAAATAACCTTACAAGTAAAAATAAAGTCTACATCTGAAATTACAATTTTACCAGCAAGCATGGAAAATTAATTATTTATAAATCACCACGTCCGCAAATTTTGCAGTGTTTTGATTACCATCAGCTTCATTAAATAGGAGGAAACACAGGCAAATATCTACTAAGTGACTTGCCTGAAGTCACGGTGAGTCAGTGGCTGAAATGAGAACACAGTCCTGCTCTCCTGCTTTCTACTCCCTGTGTCCTCATCACTGATTCAGCAAGAATTCAGGCTCCACACCACAGATCTTCCCTGGGTATAAGCTATAGTAATTGCCAGCAGCTGAAGAGTGCAAGAGAGAGGGTGATCCCCACAGGTGGATAACTAAAGTTTATGAAGGGCTGTCATTTTGGTATGGTAACATTCACACTACCAAGCAGGATGTTACATACCTGATATAACAAGCTGACCAGTAAGCTCACCGAGAGTGTTACTCCCTGATCCTGTCTCACAGAAGCCATAGTCTGGAACACTAATGCCCTTGTTCTTTCCTGTAGACTATCAACTGTGGCTGAACTACATATCCCGTGACCTGGTCCCCTCTCTCCTCTGGCAGCAAGAGTAGATCATTACAATTAGAAGTCAGTCTAGATTCCTTGTTTCTGTAATACCTATGACTCTTGTATCAGAACTGCAGCACTATTTGAAAAGGTATATTGATCACGAATAACTGTCAGAGATTATCCTTTTAGCTCGAATACTAAAATATTGCATTTTAAACAATTACCGATTTTTTTTTTTCTTACTCTACCACTAAGTGTTCTACAGACAACAGTTGAGTTACAGCTATGTTACTATCATATGGCTCTTATCAATTCACATTTATAACACAAGGATTTATTTTTAATAAACAGAAAATTTCTGGATAGTTTGTAAATTAAAATTCTGGGATACAGGAACAACCCACCTTTAACAATTCTTTGCGCATCTCTAAGTTCAATTAAATCACACTACAGCAAAACATTTCAAGCGTGCAAATTCTGACAGTGACTTCTGCAAGACATTTTATTCTGAAATAAACAAAGCCATCACTATTTGAAAAAATCAATCTCAGTGGAAGCCTATAGAGAAAAAACCTAACAGCTGATTTTCAGAAGTGAGGGAAAATTAAAACTGGTAAAATTATTTGTCTCCCTTCATTCCTAAGGGAGACGTTTTGTCAGCTTCCAAGGAACATGCTCATTTCACTGGCTGCATGAAGCAAGCAGTGCAGATTTAGGGGACAGAGAACTTCATGCTGTGAGTTTTAATGTTTTGCTACAGGTTCACTGTAGCAAAGTAGGTCTAGAAACACAGCAATGTCACATAGAAAAAAATAAATGCCAAGCTGCAGTGTCTCTTCAGGACTGAGTTCACGTTTCTACACGTAGATTCAATTTTTATATAAAACAAGTCACTAAACTTACCTGTAGTGAAACCCATTATGACTGGATTACTGCCTCCTAAATGTGATCTGCAGATTGTGGTCTGTCAGATATCAGATGATGATACATAAACAGCTGCTTAAAACCCTCTAATGCATAACATGAGCAACCAAGGAAAGAACAAAATGGAGAAAAATGAAAACAAACATTCGAAGTTAAGCTTAATTTTTATTTGGCAGTAATGAAAAATCACTGTGGCAATATTCTACAAGATGATCACTGGCATGTAGTTTTTTGTTAGGTGGCTATTGGATTACAAGGAAAATTGAAAAGTATTACTGTATGCTTTTAATATACAGACCATCCAGAGCCATTACTTCTTTACAATTTTTGTCTGCATTGCAGGCAACACAGCACAGTTGTAGAATCAGATCAGAGAATTCTCCGTGACATTGTATATTGGAGATGAGATTTCAGGTAAGTATAAGGATCCATTTGCACAGATGTAACTACAAGTTTGGGATCACTGCAGCATCTGTGTTTGTTCCTTTCTGCAGTATAAACCATGCTGTCATCTGAAGTTAGTATATCAAAAGTTTGTATGACAAGCAGAACTTCACCTTAACTAGAAGGTGAAAAGATTTTGCAAGTTTGCAACAATTAAAACGTGGGGGTTTTTTTTTCTTTCCCTTTTCCTGCTTCTCTGAGGTGCTTTTTAAACAAGTTAAAATAAATTTATGGCAAATGATCAGTATGCTGCGTCTGAGAAATATTTTCTTTGCATATCAAAAAAACTACCAGTTTTCCCTTCTGCAACACTGCAGATACAAAAAAAAAAATCTATTATTCTTAGTCATATTTCATGTTGTTATAAAGACTTTGGTATACTTCATTCCAGCCAATAAGTAATATATTAGAAAGTGAACAATATGGGAAAAGTAATGAGGATTTTGAAGTCAGTATTTTATTTTGGCACACTTTCTAAATATTATATAAGCTTATCATCTTTCTGTGCTACTACTCCATGTTTAAAGATCAAATGATATTTTGGAAAGCAGTTACATTCCGGCTTTGATTAGTGTAGCAAATGCTAATATGTATTTTAAAAATGCTTTGTATCAGATATTTCAAAGTCTATTAAAATAATTTTTGAAATGCAAGTTTTCACTACTCATTGAGGTAAATGGGGAAAAAAGATGCACCAAAAATGACGGAGAGGGATCCTGGGCTAAGGAACACTCCTGAATTCCCTTATTTGGGCAAAAGCATAGGCCACAAACAGGAATTTAGCCAGAGAAATGAATTCACAAAACAACTGTCACCTTTCAGATTTCCTTCAAATCAATGCTCTCACATCTCAGGGAAAAAAGGCAGCTGTGAATGACAAAGTAGGCAAAAGAACCCTAGCTGTCTGTAACTTACAGTCCTTACTAAGCTCTCCCATCCTTTAAGAGTTCCACATCTTTTTCCAGTCTAATGCCTTTTCCCAGGCAAACATAACCACTGAACAACAATCACGTACGTCCACGAGTTATATATACGATTACAGTATAGTGATATCCAAATTTTGGTAAAGTCAGCATAATTTACAGTCAAACTATGCAGGAAGTGCAGAGGAAACCAATTCCCCCATCTATTATGCAAAACAGTTTGCTGAAAATATGAAGAAATCTTCTCCTGAGAGAAAAATCAGCAAAGTAGAAAAAATAAAATGCACCTTCCTTGAATTTTATTTTGACTCGGCCTCTTCATCCACAAATTCAACTAGCGGAGCGTGTCTGTTGGCCTGGGCACCTTCTCGGAAATTAACCTTTTTTATCACTCCTGCCTTTGGAGCCCTTATGGTATGCTGCATAGAAACAGATCAATAGTGAACCAGCAGAGTACTTTTTTTTTTTCTTCTCCTCTCTCTCGCTGTGTCCAGCAAACGCTAATATTACTCTTTGGTGCAATTAGAACAGAACACACTTAATTAGTTCCTCTGACACATGTATATTTATTTTAAACTTTCTTTTAAAATGTTATCCTAGACCTTTTTCAAGTTTTATTTTCTCATCAATATTTATTTTGATAAGTATACTGGGGACAAAAATGCTATATAATGTTCTATTTTGAAGTATGAACAGCTGAATATTATTTTACTTTACTAATACTTTTTGTTATTACGATAAATACCAGGCAGAAATAATACAGTTTTAGTCCAAAACGTTAATCATATAGCAGATTTGTTCCCTTAAGAGGAATCTGCAGATTTACTAAAGATATTTTTGTTTGCTGGCCAGGAGGGGTCTTTATTGAATAGATATTTGGCAAAATCCAGATGAAATACAAATACAGCTACTAGTGACAGTAAAGGAATAGTATGTTTACATACCAATCCCCAAATTGGTCTGCTTGCATTGTATCAGGTTAGTTTTCCATTGAAGTTTTGTTTCTTGGTAATTTTAGTTTCTTGGTAATTTTTTGTTTCTTGGTAATTTCTAAATAGGGTTAGTCTAATATCAAAACATTTAATATCAGGTATTAAATATCCTCATATCTAAGCAAGGATTCCTTTAAATAATAATTTGCTTTTTAAATTTTACATTTTATATTTCAATAACATTGAAAAAAAGAACAACAACTCAGATAATGTCAGTCTGAGATATCAGCTGGAGAGGCACAAACATTTAGCATTCAATCGCAAATAATTTTGGGTGTGATTTTTTAGTGCACAGC